AAATGCAAGTTTCCACATATATTTCAGATGGATTGTTATAGGGCTGCACGATATTAGGAAAACCTGCGATATTTGATAACAGTGCTTAATATTGCGATATCGATATTACTCACGATAAATGAACATACCATTTTTATTGCAAAAATATGCAGCTGCACCTGCTACTGTATTAGCAGCAATACAACAAACTGCATGCATGCAGTTTCTCAGTGACTTTAAAACATCACCACCACCATAAAACTTTTTCTGATGCTCCAAATACAGAAAAACATCCCTTACCAGAGTTTTTGAATAAATAAAAAAAATCATAAAATAACTTTAAATGTTAAATAATAGTTAACATCACTTAAATGCAACAGCAAATTCTCTCATTGCTACTGAACATTTTCTCCACATATGTGGTTATGATATAAGGCTGTTGCTGTAATTGGGAAGTGATCTGTGCTGGGCCAAACTAGGAGAATATTAAGATTTTTTTAGGGAAAGAGAAAAACAATTGTCTACCTTTCAGAAGAGGAACTGGCAAAAAAAAACTACATGGAAAATATATGAAAACGTTTGTTTTTAACTCCAAATTGAACAAGTTTACCTAGATCTTAAAAAGCAGCTCAGATGATGAAACTGCAACTATGATTCTGATAACAAGCTAACAAATTGAACTAGCTCCTCTAAGATAACCGGCTAGCAGAGCTTCTGACTGACAGTTTATGTGCAGCAGCAAAGCAACTATCCTGATTAACAAGGTTATAAAAGCTCATAAATGAAAAATCACTTTGATGTGTGGGGGAACTTTTCCAGGCCCTCTTTAGCAGGGTGGGACTGGGAGGAGAGTGCTGTAGCCTTTTAGCTGGAAGCTAACCGGAGCCTGGGGCTAACACTAGCGACATGAAGGTGGGTTGGTTCACCAGCACGTGTCTGAGTCAGCCCAGTAAAAATGATTAATGACACCGAGCGGACTCATGTTCACATTTGAAAGCAGCGCTGAATCCAGAAACATCAGCACAAAGTGCGTTCGTTGCTCTGAGTCAGCATGACAAACAAGGGTACAGCGCCGCAAACTCTGTTCGGGTGTTGCTTTCCAAAAGGGTCTATGCAGGGGACAGGCGTATTACCTGAACGGACCCATCTGACTGGCCGCATTTCAGAAGGGCTACATTTGATTGGTCAAATAATACCTCAGCGTAAAAAACAGAGCTGGTTTACAAAAAGCTGATGTATGACACGGATGGAAATGTTTGAACCAAACATTTATCGCGGTTTTGCCGTGTTTTGCGATGGGCCTATCGCACGTCCTGTTATCGTGATGACGATAATTTTTCGATATATTGTGCAGCCCTAGATTGTTATATTTTTCAGATCAGTAAAGCCACCACACATATCTAATCAGAAAATGTGTTTATTTCTATACTTCACTCCCTGTTTTAGGGGCAACAACTCTTATTTAAAAAAAATGTGACTTTTGTTTTTATCAATCTGTAGCCAGTGGCAGTGCAGTCAGGTCTCGGTATCTACAACCTGCTGAAAAGGCATCTCTCTCAAAGGTAATGCTCATTTTGTTCAATCTCTTATGTAGAAATCAACACATAATTATTGCTGTTTTTAACTTTGCATATGAACCAAGGTTACTGTATTTTATGTGAAGTTTATGTATTTATCTAGCTTAAAGTTGTTTAATTATTTGGTTTGCATTTCACTGTCATTCCTTCATGTTTGTTGCCACATCTATTTTTACATTTGCAGACTAATTCCCTGACTGATTCGTTTGCTGTGCCTCAGCGGCCTTCTTCACCTAAACCCACTTTTGTAAAAACAAAGGTCGGGACACCACCAAGACGCTCAATGCCTGCTCAGGCACTCGCAGCAGAGTGTGAGTACTTCTTGTGATTGCTTTGAATATGTTTCTCATTTCATATTGTTAAATGAAAAGACTGAGAAAAGAAAAAAGAATACAATCTTTTATATACCACCTCAAGATAAAAAAAAATCATGAGGCGCTTCACAAAAACAAAGAATTTAAAATATAATTTTTTTTAAATGATTTAAAATATATATTTCAAATGAGAAAAAAACAAAATTGTGATTAAAGGAAAGGAGAAAATGAATAGGAAAGAGGGAAATCAGTGGATCCCAGGAAAAGTGGAATAGGTAGAAAGAGCAGAATAAGGAGAGGGTGATGATAAAGGTCACGCAAAAGCCAGCCTGAACAAGTGCACCTCAGTAGCAACTGAGATGCCTGTCTTACTGACAGATGGATGATTATTAAAGCTAAGAATCAAACTGCTAAAGTCTTGTTTGTTTTTCTTCTACTTTCCTATTATGTTACATTTCTTGTAGCAACAGTGTCACGTGAAACTGGTCCCTCACTTCATGGTAAAAGCATTCTGCAGTCCACTTTCTCAGATGGTCACTGCTTTCGACCAGATTTTGATATTTCAGTCATTAAAGGTGAGCTAAACCAAACTCCTACATGTAACGTGTTTTATTTTCAAACTGGGTCGTGAATTCATTTGTTCTCTTCCATCTGTGTTTTAAAGATAAAACGGTGATTGAGACTGCAGCAGAACCTGACAAAAACCCCGAGACTGAGAAGCAGAATGTGGAAATGCAAACATTCCTCCTTGCCTACCTCACAGCCAAGGTTTAATGGGATAATCATTTTAATGTAGCGTCTGCTTTATATCAGTGCTCATTAACACAATAAAACACCAGTATCTTTGTCTGTTGTGCTCCTCTTATAATGTGCCTTTTATTGTTTATTTTCCTAGATGGAGAATAATACCACCAAATTCAAGGCTGAGGCAGAGGAACGAATCTTTCAAGGCATTCAAGAAGAGATGCGGTTGCATAATGAGGTCAAGGAAAAGAAACGCCAATATCTTCTAGCAGAGAAACGAAGGCTGATGAATGAGATGTTGGACTTGCAGGTCAGAGCATCTTCTGATTTTTTGTTCGTCGCTTTAATGCGTGTAAAGTTTCAATTAATGTGGTGTTTTTTTTCTTTACACCTAGTCTAAATGAGGCCTAAACCAGTACTGGTTGTGTTGTAACCCAGCACCAAACAAACAAAGGACTATATATATAGATTAAATATATTATAGGAGGAATACGCAGAATGTGGTGCTTATGCATCATTTGTGTCTGATGTAAATTAATCCCTTCTTAAATGATACGTCAGTATAAAATGTAAACTATTACACGGAGCTAACATGGGCTAAAAATAGGCTAATGACTCCTGCTAGCAACATGCCAACAATCTGATAGTGGTGGGTTTCTTTATAATATAGATTATGTCAACTGTTACTGGTCCTTTTAAAATATATAAAATCTCCTCCTTTGCTTCACGAGGTAAAGTTGCTGACCCTAGCTTTAATGTGGGAATAATCAAGGAGACCATTGGGGAAACAAGATAGTTTCAGTCAGTTTCATAATTGTGAGGCAAAGCGGTCCTTCTACTCCTGGCAAATGTAACCATTTAATCAACCAAAAGCTTAAATCCTGTGTTTGTAACCAGTTAAAATCTTCTAATGTATTTTTTTTTTCATCAGATTGAGATACTGACGCCCGTGGCCAAGGCAGCCAAAGAGTTCACAAACAACTACAAGGGTTTTGCAACAGCTGTTGATGCCACACGTCATGAACTACCAATCAAGAATTTCTACATTAATGGAGACGGAAGGGAATTTCTAGGTATCAGAAGTTTTGGTAAACGTTGTCTTGATTGGACTGTTTTTTGATGCAATCAAAAAGTTACTTTTTATTCAGTTTAATTCAAGTTTATTTATATAGTGCCAAATCACAACAAGAGTCATCTCAAGGCACTTCACACTGTAAATATTCCAACACAGTTCAGTTCATTAAGCCAATCTTCAATTGTAGATTCTTCTAGTTTTTGATTTCATCATAGAAATATGCACTTTTAAATTTCTCTTTTTTTTTTCATTGTCAATGTGGTGAAAAACATTAAAACTCTGATGTAAACTAACCAATATTTCCCCTTCAATTGTATGTCTCAGAAGGTCATCAAAATCTGTCTTTGTTTTATTTGAAATAACCCCTGTGTACATGTGCATTTATCAGAAACTGATGATACATGTTTGATAAATATTTCTGCTCATTAGATAAAGCTGAGGCTTATCTGAAGGAAACTGAGACGCTGTTGCTGGAGTGCTCACAGGGGGACCCCATGGAGAACAGCACATCTTTGGATTGTCTGAGAGACATGAAAATAAAATCAAAGGAAATCAGTCAGCAGCTTTCAGGGTAGGTACATCCATAAACGTGCTATTTGGTGGTGTCTTTCTCGCAACCTGATATGATTTTCTTGTACGATGTAAAGGTGTGGGAAATTGTTTAATCAATACATTTGCAGTGGTCTCTGGTAATAAATGCCTTGAAAGCCGTACTCCGGGCAGAATCAAGCCCAGAATTGCTTGTTTCAACATCGACAAGTCTGCCGTCGCACAGAGTTGCAGCAGACAGTAGGATTTGGAGTCTCATTTGCTGATATTTTGACATCTTGCCTCTAATTGGATAACGGCCACACAACTCTACCACTGACTTGCAACGTGGATGTTTTATCTCCACAAATGACACAAGCCTGAAGTGTTTTTTTTCTGTGTAGTGCAGTTGCTAATGCTAATGGTTAGCTTCTACTAGTTGGGATCTTGTCTGCTGTTTCCTGGATGTTAAAACAACAGCCTTCCCTGTCGTGAGTCCATGAATGTTGAGTGATGTAGACCTGTCAGTCTTTTCAAATCCTAGCCATTCACCATCTATTTTCTATCAGAAGCTAAGGCTGGAGATGGGTGTAGGAGACTATTTACATGTACAGCCTGCATGAAATACTTGGTGACCAATTATAATCAGAAATAATAATTAAAAATGCTTTTTCAGTGTTCCACACCTTTAAAAGCACTTTTTATAAGTTAATTTAAATGAGGACATAAAGATGCTTTGAGGAGGTAGCCGTCATATACTCAGGTGTGTTCTTGTTCCTTTTAGAACATTTTCTGAGCTGCAGGAGCTTTCGTCATTGGTTTGCCGCCATTCAGTCTATTCTCAGCAGGCCATGGAGGAAGAGCAACTGGGCAGCTCAAGAACCCGCGAGCTCTTCTGCCTCAAACATTGAAGAATACCACACAGCATGGGAGATGCCATACATGTACTTTGGAATCCCACAGTTCCTAACTAATTTTCTCTGATGTGTAAATAGATTTTGTGTCTTATGTCCTTGTATGTGTTAACTTTGTTGCAGTTGTAGGAGAACTTGTGCAGTTTTTCAGCCTGATGTAATTTAATAAAGAAATGAAACAACAAATGATTGGGGTTAACTTTCATGAAACTGTTCTAAGAGAAATGAAGCCCATAATTGAGATATAATAATGGAATATGTCAATATGAGTAAAAATTGCTTTGACGCAGCTATTTATTTGGAAACTACAAGTCTAGAGTGATTTCACCAAACTTGCATAAAAGCTCAAAAGGCAAACCAATGTCCCTGCAGTAATTTTTTTTATTGGTTTTAGTTGGTATACATTAGTAATTGTACTGGTGTTTTTCTGATCAGAAACATATTTTAAAGTTATGCTCTTTTGTGATCAACTAACAAATGGAACAGACCTACAAATATTACATTTTAAAACTTTCTTTTCAAAATGACTGGAGTGAGCATATCGACCGCTGAGGTTGATCTTAAACTTGCTAATAGTATTGGCCTGTATCAGTGCAGTTATTGCAATAGGCCCTCAAAGACCTTTGAAGAGGCTTGAGAGACAGCAGGCAGCTCTTCCAACTGTACATCTCCTTTAAGCCCCATGAGATGTCTAAGCTGCAGCTGTTACACTCCTGCTTAGATTCTATCAAAACCTGGATGGCTGGGAGCTTTCTACGGCTGAATGAAGATAAGTCTGAGATCCTCATCTGTGCCCCAGACAAGCTGGTTCCCAAAGTCAGAGACTCTCTTGGTCAGCTTGCTTCTCACACAAACCTTCTGTCAGGAATCTTGGCGTGACCTTTGACCCAGCTCTCACCCTGGATTCTCAAGTCAGTTCTCTTGTTCGCTCTTCCTTCTTCCATCTCAGGAACATTGCTAAGCTGAGTCCCATTCTGTCCTGCTCTGAACTTGAGACAGTTATCCACACCTTCATCTCCTCACGCTTAGACTACTGTAACTCTCTTTTCACGTGTCTGAGCAGAACCTCCCTGAACCGTCTGCAGGTGGTTCAGAATGCCTGTGCTCGGCTTCTGACCAAGTCCTCCAAACACACCCACATCACCCCGCTTCTCCTCCAGCTTCACTGGCTGCCAGTCAACTTCAGGGTTCATTTCAAGATCCTGGTTCTGGTCTATAGGGCCTTACATGGACAAGCACCATCTTACATCTCTTCTCAGTCCCTACACCCCCAGCAGATCCCTGAGGTCCAGTGATCAAAGCCTACTGGTTGTGCAGCGCACCAGGCTAAAGACCAAAGGTGACAGATCGTTTGCTGCTGTGGCCCCCAGACTCTGGAACTCTCTCCCCCTGAGCCTGAGATCAGTGGACTCAGTGGACTCCTTTAAAAAGCAGCTGAAGACTCACTTGTTCAGGCTGGCTTTTGTATGACCTTCTTCACCACTCTCTCTTTATTCTGCTCTCCCCACCTATTCCACCTTCCTCAGGATCCACTGACTTCCCTCTTTCCTATTCACTCTGTCTCTTTCTTAACATTTTTTCTTTTAAATCCCAATTGCCTATTTTTGCTCATTTTAAATATATTTTTTAACATTTTCTAAATGTTTTTTATATTTTTACTTTTTTATTTTTGTTTTTGTGAAGCACCTCGTGATTTTTATCTTGAGAGGTGCTATAGAAATGATATCTTCTTCTTCTTCAAAGAGGCTTTGGTCAATCTTAGCTTTATTCTGTTTTGTATTACAGAATTATCAATATCTGCTTTTATGAATTAGTCACCAACTTACAGTGATACTTGTTTAGGTCTCCAGCTTGTCTTTATGATGTATTTCAAATAAATTAAATGCGAGAGTGAAGATACATTTCTATCTGTTTGGAAGTGCTTTTTGACCTGACACTTCTTTAAATTGTTTTATTTTGAAACATCAGTTTCGGATGTGACGAATCGTCAAACGGATGCTGCTCGGAAGTGACGACATTCCTGTTCACGAGACTCATGAGCCACAAAACAGTTTCTCGCATGTAAGTACTGAATTTTTAAAATTATTTTTGTTAACCTTTTAAGTTCGTATTAGTATTTGTCTTGGAGTATTTTTGATAATTGCTAACGCACTACAAACGCTTGGTACAAATAAACGATGTTTTCTCGCTGTTAGCTTGCTAACTCAAATTAACACTAGCTTCAGTGAGAGCTTTGTTAGCAGACATTTACTGGCATGGCAGAGTCTTTTGTTGAATAAACATGAGAACATGGACGAACTTATTTAAAAGTTAAAATAGTTTTGAGCTGGTTTATGAACGCATTCAAAGATCCTTCGGATTTTCTGGGGAACGAAGACGTGTCTGTAGATGACTAACACAACTGCATGAGTACGTTTAAAACTAACGAACCAACTGGGAATTTAAAATGATATAGCTACTTAAAGGGCAAGTCACCCCCTGCCAGATTCTTACTCAACTCCCACTTCCTGTTTGAAAAATGCATCAAATGCTGTTGCCTAGCAGACCGAGAGGGCGGAGCCTCTAAACAAATACACACACTCACGACATTGTGACATCATAATGTAATCATCTAACATAATACGCTGTGTCTCAATTCAGGGCCTGCATCCTTCGAAGGACCCAGCTTACTCGGCCGACGTGGGCTGGGTCTTCAGTCGCCGAGTAGACCGGATGTTAACGGCTGTGAATTTGAACAGGCCTAGCCTTCATGAATTCCCGCCACTCCCTCGGTGAACGTTCTGTCGCCTAGCAACCATGGAACCCCTGAGCAGAAGGGAGAAGGAACTTTAAACGATGGAGCTCGAAGTTTTATTTAGCTTTTTAATAATTTCGTTGACTGTTAGAGAGCTAATTCAGAGAAAATAATTTCGACAAGCTGAGCCCGAGCAAAGATGTGATAATAGTTTTTAATACTTTCTAAGGGTCTTCATTTGGCCAAAACCGATTTATCACCTTCTAAGACTTTTCAAGACCCAGCGGATACCCAGTAATATTAAACAATTCACATTTGTAAACAAAAATAAAATTCAAGTGTTTAATACAGAACTGATTTTATTTAGATATTTCTTTTATATGTACATGTTTAATCGTTAACCATTTTTTTCTAGCAAAGTAAAAAGCTGTCAAAATTCTCCCTTCTCTCCTGTGCCCTCTGCTGCTCTGCCTCCCTCTGCAGCCTCATGTCCTCCCTGATCAGCTCCAGAAGCTGGTCATCGCTGTCACCTTCCCCTGGATGCCCATTTTCTCCAGAATAGTCTTAACAAACATGTAAGAGAAAAAAAACAGGAAGAGAAAAGATAGAGAAGAGGACAACAGGTTATTCCTTTCATGTCTTCGCAGAAAAAACTGAACTTAAAATATGAGATGTTATAACACCTCCATGCCACATCCGCTGAATACTTTGCTCCTGTGATCATGCTGTCCATCTCCGCCCTAAGCTTAATAAAGTCTGTGGTTTTCTCTTTTGTCCCTAAAATACAAACTTCTACTAAAATCAGGGGGAAAACGTAGCAGGAGAAGTACGACACCGAGCGGCCGAACATACGAGCCGAGACTGCAATACAAGCACTTTTACTGTAACATTTCAAACTAAAATAACGTTCATGTATCACAAAAAGCCCTTAACCTAACAGTTTTCAAGTTTATACTGACATTTATATGTGCAATCCTCTCCGACAGCCCCCGCTTCACTGTCCGCCATTGTTTTTAAAAGTTCTGCCATCTGGCCCGCAAGGCATCTTGGGAAATGTGAACCATTGAAGGATACACCGGACCCATCCTTCATTCAGGCGAAAAGAAGGCCGGATTCGTCGACTGCATTTGAAGGAGTCTTCGAATTGGGACAGGCCTAGTCGCGGCGCTGTGACGTAACCGGCCGACGAAGGATGCAGACCCTGAATTGAGACACAGCGATAGTGTACCTCTTAGCCAATAGCGATGGCAGATTTAAATTCAAATGCAGTGCTGAGTTTTTGCCTGACGACGGTGCGTCGCTGACAGTTTTAGGCAGAATATTTAAATTTTAACTAAGATGCACTAAAGTGCCGAATTATTGACTACATTTGTCTACAGCACAATTGGACACTCATTTATATAGTTTATCAGCAAAAATATGGTGATTTGGAGTGACTTGCTCTTTAAACTGCTTGACAAATACATTTGTTGCTGTCTGGAACAATAAACAAAACAATTCATTCATGCAGACAAACGTATTTTGTCTGCATGGGGTTATTGTCATAGAATATCTGTTCACTTAGATTTGATTTTACATTGATCCATTATAATTAAACTGTTTCATGACCAGCTCTCAGTCACAGAGGAGTGATGGACCATCAGGTGGACAGTGGAGACAGAGGAACAAAAAACAATGGCGGACTAAAAGCAAAGCTCCAGAGAAAGAGGTGGAGAAAGAAGAGCAGATCCTCAGAGAGCCCGTAAAGGAGACCGGACCCAGAGGGACCTGCCAGACTATGTGTCCCATTCAAGAGCTGAGAGACCGTGAAGCTCAGAACCGGCTTCACCGTTTTGAAATGGTACCAGGCACAGAGAGAGATCGAAGGCCGTGGGGGGACCCAACGCGTGCTGTCAAAGAATATTCCAGACCAGCAGCTGGAAAAGATGCGATGAAGTCCTCTGACCTTCGACCTCCTGAGGTGTTGCTGAAGACCGTCTACTATCTTATTGACTTTGTTATTGCCTCTCCTTCTCTGAATCCATGGACTGAGGCAAGTAGTATTACCACATCTGTTTACTGTAAATCTTATTTTTTAGAATAAGAACTTAAATTTAAACTTGTTATCAAAAATCTTCAAAACTTAGAAAATATAAAGATGAGACTTATTTTCAGCACGAGAAGCAAATCTGTTATTTTTTTTAGCTCGTTGAACTTTGTTTAGAAAGTATAAATTTTAAGTGGCCAAGATCTTGTGCTATAAAAGTTCTGTACAACATGCTTCTCATACATGAAAGACTTTGTTGAAGAACAAGAAAAAATCAAAACATTTGGTAAATGATGATTTTAAAAGATTTCAAATAGACAAAAGTGCAATTCGCAGATACATAATGTTAGAAGCTTTGTTAGTTTTATGAATATTTCCGTTTCTCATTCTTACATCATTCTTACATAATACATCTTCATCAACCTTGTGCTTTCCTTTCAGGTGTATAGCTTTGCCTTTGATCGGCTGCGCTGCGTGAAACAGGATATGATTGTCCAGAGGCTGTCTGGATTGGAATGTTTGGCCATTTTAGAACGGGCAGTGCGCTTCCTCATCTATGCCTCTTATCGTCTCTGTGGTGAACCCTTGCGGCTTTATGATCCTCGCATCAATGATACACACCTACAGGAGTACTTGAGCTGGCTGTTTGACTGCTACGCAAATGGACCAGGACCATACCCAAACCAGGAGGAGTTTCAGGCTCTAGGTTTGCTCTACAACTTAGGTTAGTGGATGTGTTTTTTTAAGTACTTCCTACTTAGGTGTTCAAAACACAACAGAGCCATGACAAAAAAAATTTGTTTCATTAGTTGTTGGTAGACAGTAGACCTAAATATTAAGGTGATGGTGTCTCAGGGGTTAAGTTAATCCAGTAATTAGTGGGTTGCCAGTTCTAACCTAGGCTCTGTCAGTCGTCATGTTCTGGGGCGAGACACTTCACCTTCCCTTGATCTCAATCACACTCTGATGGTGATGAGCCACAGCTGCACTGGGGTGCACTGACAGAGGCGAGGCTGCTGTACACAGGCACCACCGGTCCCTCCGACCACCACTAAGTAGCAGGCAAGTAGGGTGAAGTTTCTTGCCCAAGGACACAACGACTGCGACAGATGAGATGCGACCCTTCAACCCTCCAGTAACAGGGTGGCCACTTACTCCTCTGCCACTGTCTCTCCAATGGAGGAACCTTAGCAAGAATGTTTAAAATTGACAGGTATTTTTGCACATTACTATTTAAAGTTTGTGTACGTTTGTGTTAGAGAATACTGGCACACTTTACAACCGTGGCTATTTTCTGTTGATTTAATTGGTTATTTTTTTAATCAAATTTCACTGAAATCTGCATCAGTCAATAAGACCAACCAGTATCAAAGAGAGAGTTTGGGTTTAAGGGCAGAATGACTAAAATATCTCTGTTCTCTGCAGCTTTTATTTCTTCTAAAATTTAGATTCTTTTTATACAACACACACACACACACACACACATATATATATATATATATATATATATATATATATATATGTTGGTTTTAGAGTACAGCATTGCAACTATATAATATATTTTAATGCATACCCATATTCTTCTTCAGGATCATCTAGTACCCTGCAGCACATCATGGAACTGCCAGTGCGGCTACGCAAAGCACGGTCTGTCACACTCGCTCTTGCTATAAATCAAGCTTATTTGGAAAGAAACCCTGTCCGCCTGCTCCGATTGGCTCGGAGGCTGAACTTTCTCCAGGCCTGTGCGCTACACCGACACCTGGTGATGTGTCGTAGAGATCTACTGCTGATCTACAGCCACGGATACAGCAGCCGCAACTGCAGCTTTCCACTCGACAGACTGGCTCAACTGTTGTCCTTAGACACATCGCACACCGCTCAGCTTTGTCAAGCGTATGGTGTGGAGGTTGATCAGAATAAAGTGGCTTTTTCCAAAGCTGCTTTCACTGAGCCTGAGCAAGGGAGACTACTATGTAAAAGTTATCATAGCTTAGTGTCTGAGAAACAGAAAGACCTCGGTGTGAAGGACATCATACACGGCTTCACTTACTGATTGTTCTATAATAGCGAGGAAACATTTTGTTACTGTTCAAAAATCTTGAGGCCAATTTGAAAAAATTGTATGCCACAGTTCGGCCTACTTTAAAGTTTTGGATAACTGCAGTGTGTGTGTGAAACATTTTGTATTAGTGGTCTGCAATACTCAAGTGCATAAAAACCTTTAAAATGTGAGTTTTATACTGTTACAGTTTGTACTTTTTCTCATTTTTTAGCTAGTGCAGTTTAAATCATCAAAAGGATCGACATGCTCATCTCAAAATGACGATTTAGTAATACAGATGCAGGGAGATAGGGATGAAAAGCATTTGGGCACCAGATGTTATTGCCAGATGTTTCGGTTGAGCATTTCAGAGAATGTCCAAGATTTGTTTTCGATACATCAATGTTTTAACCTCTGTAAACATTTCAATAAATACGTATTTGTTATTTAAATAGAATCATTTGCTGGATGTTTTTGCACCGTTGCCCTATGACCGCTAGGGGGCAGCATATGACCTCTTAAAGCACTATCCCATGATAAATAACCTAAAAGATAATTGTGTTATAACTGTTTTATTTTTCATCACATGTTCTGGTTTTAACTGCCATTTAACTAAAAATGTAATAGTTTGTCGTGTTAAAATGTGGGTTTTACTTCAGCCTTGGAAGTCCTGACCTGCACCCCGAAGGCGCATTCCCCTCTGCATGACGCGCTGCGTGCCGCTGATCTCGTTTTCGGACTCGCGGAACTGAACATCGCAAGCGGCAGCGACTGGATTCAGAAGGTCAAACAAACCAAAGTGGGAGGACACCTAGCAAACTGATGCTGAAATATGAGAGAAGGAAAGCGGGGCGGGTGGAGAAGGCACATGGTGGTGGGAGCGGACTGGTGTAGCTGCTCTGTGCGGAGTCTGAGGAAAACAAGATTTGTTTAGGAGGGATGATAACAACTCCGGTCCCGGATGAAACTGGGCGCCTATCTGTCCTGCCAGCATACATAGATCGGTAGACGGGTCTAGAACCAGATCGTTATACTTCCATCGGACTTTGGAGTAATCTCATTCATAGGAGGCGCGCTCGCTGACTGAAGCCAGCATGTTGTGGCTGTTTTGGACAAACTTTGGTTTTGTTTGGACCTTGATCTTCTGCCATGCCAGCAGAAGTTGTGCGCAAGACAAACAGTAAGTAATGTACACTTAATGGAGATAAATCAGCGAAGTTATCTTTATTTTATCCTAATTGTGCTGCGAGATGGACAGAATGATGTCGTCACAAGACCCCCATAGTGACCCTACATCCTCTCATGTTGTGTGTTATTGACCTGTGAGCAGTCACACTTTGACATCCTGCCCCGCTGACTTTGTTGTGGTAGCCCATGACTCAGTATGTGCTGTGATAGTGACAAATATAAATAGGCCTATGCACTCTGACGTCACAACTGCAACTGAATGAGTTTTACATGAAGAAATAAGTTGTAAAGTGGAGTGCTCGTGAATTGGGCGGGTGAACAAAATTCAACTTTTTTTCTTTTGCAAAGGAGTGTTCAAAATCTAAAATGCTGTCAGCATCAATCATGTGATGGCATTTTGAAGGTTTCACAAAGGAGAGCATAAATCCCTCTCAGGCACAGGGATTCTCAGCCTTCAGAGGAGAAAAGTAGAGTACAGTGAGCCATGTGATTGAAATGAGCACCGCCTGATTCTGGCTCTTCCAAGAGTTAGCTAAACTCACTGAAGATCAAACAGCCCATTTCCCCGCATTATCTTCCTTCCTGCAGCCTTGTTTTCCAGGGATTTTCTCACAGCTCTCTCTCTCTCTCTCTCTCTCTCTCTCTCTCTCTCTCTCTCTCTCTCCTCTCTCTCTCTCTCTCTCTCGCTCTCTCTCTCTCTCTCTCCCTCTCCCTCAGTAATTTCAGCTGCCTCTAATGCTGTAACACCAACCACCTGATCCTGCTCTCATGTAGTTGGGTTGGTTTGTGCTCAGGGCTTTACCCAGTTCTTTTTTTCTGTGATCTTCAGGTTTTTCCCACAGTACAATGATTTCTAATGAGGCAATGAACCAAAATGCAAAAAAACAGCAAGCAAGTTTTTGAGTTTTCTCTGCAGGGTGTCTGGGCTTTCCCTTAGAAATAGGATGGGAAGAGAGGGATTCAGAGTAGATCTGCTGCTCCTCCACATCGAGAAGATCCATTTGAGGTATAGCTCGGGCGTCTGGTTAGGATGACTCCTGGATGCCTCCCAGGTGAGGTTTTCCAGACACGTCCAACCAGGAGGAGACCTAAAGTAAGACCCAGGGCATGCTGGAGGAACCATGTCTCTCAGCTGGCCAGGGAACACCTTGGGATTCCCCCGGAAGCCCATGTGGCTAGAGAGAGGGATGTTTGGGCCTCCCTGCTTAGGTTGCTGCCCCGGATTGATGGATGGAGAAAGTTGGTATCTTCAGAAGAAAACAAGTAAAACTAAATGAAATGAGACCCATTTATTCCAGAACATCAGGGTGCTTTCAGGAGCAACGAAAAACAAACACTCATGTAGAAAAGTCATTTGCTAAAGTCAACAAGTACCATGTTCCAGGTTCCAAATTAATTATCGCTCAACCTGGGATTAGATGTGTTTATATTGCTCTAATTTTTACCTTAAATCGTGAAGTGAGTTATATTCATGTTCTTTATGTGTTATCACATTACTCTTCTGTATTTGACCTCTGACCCCTCCTTAATCCTGTTTGTTTTCTCATCAGTGTTCCTGATTTGTGTCCTTTCCTTCTTCCCTTATGTCCATGTCTCTGTGCTTTCCTTCTCCTGCCAGAGGTTACCTGGTCACTGCACCCTCTGTGTTTCGCGCCGGGCTCGTGGAGAGTGTGAGCATCACCATCTTTAACACAAAAGCTGAGACCCGGGCCCACGCGCAGCTGTCAGTGAAGGGGCAGGCGGTGGCTCACGGCCACAGCTCGGTGTTCGGTGAGGGCAAAGTCTTGATCGTAAATTACGGTAGCACAAATTGAAAAGACAGCATTGAGTTCCAAAACCAAACCACATGATTATCAGTTATTCACCCAAATGATATAAAAGTCAGACATTATACTCTTATAGAGGGAAGGACACACACATGTTGCTGTTCTTATCAGCAACAGTTTTCATTGTTTTTAACTGGAGGCATCAGTTCAACCCATCCCGCCAGCCTCCCTGTATACAGTGTGTGCTTTGTTTGACAACATTGATCGATGGGGCTAGTTGTGCATAGCATGGCATGGAGATGGCTTGCAGCTGGATCTGAAGCGAACTCCTCCAAGCACATCAAATCATAAGATACATTACAAAAAATGTTTAAGGCGATGCAAAATAATTCACTTTGACGTTTCTCCACCTGTCTTTTTGCTTTAGATAAAGGCACCATCAAACTGAAGGTGAGTAGCTGTGAAGCTGGGAGTTCGTTGTCCACACTTTCCTCAGGCAGCATGCAAATCAACACTAACATTATTTGTAATGCAACATCTCTCTCTCTGCCCCTTCAGTGGGAATAAGGTAACAGCTTCAGTGTAATACACAACAGCTGTTGACGTGCATGTGTGATCCACCGCCCCCGAAGGCTGGAATAGATCAATCCATGTTGCATGAAGGGATTCTTTAACGCAAACACCCTCCTCCGCCCTCTTGTATTGTAACATCCACCCTCGTTCTCATAGTATTCCTCTTTTGGTGCATTTCTTTTTGTCTTTTTTTCTAATTAAAGACACAAAATCAACAAGAATACTTAGAAATTGCATTTTGCGATTGCGATCTTTAGGTCCTCCCCCAGGTGGAGGAGTTTAAGTATCTCAGGGTCTTGTTCACTAGTGAGGGAAAGATGGAGCGTGAGATCGACAGGTGGATTGGTGCTGCTTCTGCAGTGATGCGGGCGTTGTACCGATCTGTCGTGGTGAAGAGAGAGCTGGGCCTGAAGGCAAAGCTCTCGATTTACCGGTCTATCTATGTTCCTACCCTCACCTATGGTCACGAGCTTTGGGTAGTGTCATGAGATTGTGGATATAAGTGGCCAAAATGAGGTTTCTCCGCAGGGTGTCTGGGCTCTCTCTTAGAGATAGGGTGAGAAGCTCGGCCCTCCGGAAGGGGCTCAGAGTAGATTTGATGCTTCTCCACATTGAGAGGAGCCAGTTGAGGTGGCTCAGGCATCTAGTTAGGATGCCTCCTGGACACCTCCCTGGTGAGGTTTTCTGAGCACGTCCAACTGGGAGGAGACCCAAGGGAAGACCCAGGACACGCTGGAGGGACTATGTCTCTCAGCTGGCCAGGGAACGCCTTAGGATTCCCCCGGAGGAGCTGGCCCAAGTGGCTGGGGAGGGGGGAAGTCTGTGCCTCTCTGCTTATGCCCCCGTGACCCGACTCCAGATAAGTAGAGGAATATGGATGGATGGTTCTTGAGCCAATATTTCTGAGCTGATCCCTTCTGTTTAAACCCAGCCCATGTCTATCTTGCTTTAACTTTTGCTCATATATGTTCATGTTCCCAGGTTCCCTCTGGGCTGAGAGGTCAGGCCTTGCTGAAGGTCTGGGGAAACCGTCACCTCACAGAGGGAGGCTACATTTTCCACAACTTCACCACCATCACTGTGGAGAGCAAGGGCACAGCCGCCTTCATCCAGACCGACAAGCCCATCTACAAACCCAAACATAAAGGTTCCCTCATAGTGCAACTGGTAGCTCATTAGATAATCACAGAAATACAGAAAATAAAAGGTGCTTTTTTTAAGCGCGAGTTATAGAGCGATTAGTTTTACACACAGATTTTGGATTGCTCCCAAAAGTCAGACAATTCTTTATATTTTAGTAAACAATAAAAATTGAACTTTTTATTTGTTGTGAAGGCTAAAAGATGAATGCCATATCTTTTATTAACATTGGCATGTTTTTTTTTCTTTTTGTCTTCAGTGCTCATCAATGTTTACACTGTCACACCTGACATGAGACCAGTTAATGCAAAGGTAATTATTCATTTAAGCCAAAGCTAATCAGATCCAAAAGCAGCTGGTGAAATGCATTCCTTCAAGGAATTAATTTCACATCCCTGATCCTGCGACATTTAATCGTAATCAACATGAACACACCTTTTCACTTTTAATGAGCTAATTTTAAACGAGAGTCCTATCCTGCCCTGAATGCAGCGGAGTGAACAGTCACCTATTTACCGAGGCCAAGTTTGAGTCATTTCTACTGGAATGTTTGCAGTGGATTCAAATATCCTGTGTTCCTCTGCTGAAATACACTTTATTGATGTTCGCAGCTATAAAAGTCTGTTGCATGCAGAGGTCAGTGCTCACTCTCACAGTGAGATGATTGTCAAATAAACATGACGTCTAATGGAGTGTGGGCTTCTCAGTTGGCTTTTTATGTTCAATCATGTTCTTAAAACTTAATGTGTCCTTTTTTTTTTTGCAGATTGATGCATATATTTTGGTGAGTGGAAACTGACTGGACCACCCGGGGTTGGCAGAGCCACTTCAGCAAGGGGGACAGTGGCAATTTTAGTTTTCAGCCTGATTTGAGATTAAAGAGAAGGAGTGGAGGCAGCTCAACTCGATAACAGGGTGTTCTTTGAACAGCACAGGGATAAACAACATGAAAGGAACCTCTTGTCTTGATTTTGTCTTTATTATTCACTCTACAATCTCCACTCCACTGATTTGATATTTTTAGATTGTTGTGAGACAAATGAGCGTCTTGGGTGTAGAACGTGTTCGATGAATTTTACATAAAAGTTAGCTGAAAGTTCACGGATGAGTCACCTGAGAAGAAGTTGAAAAGGTCTTTTGGCACTAGTCAGGCGTCATGCCTTGGGCTCAAACAAAGTTCAAAAATGTAAACCAATTTCATTAGTTAAACTGAATGTTAGTAACAGCTGAAACAGCCTCCTGTGTCCCTGAATAAGTTGAAAAATAGATGGAGTAAGTGCCTTTAACCTGGTTTTATCTTTTAGGATCCAAGAGGATCACGGATGATTCAATGGAAAGATGTTAAACCCGTTTGCTGTGGTAAGCTGTTTACTGCATTGTTATTCATTAGTTATTGTACATTTATTCAAATAACTCATGTGAATTGATTTAGTTACAGTTTGGACTTTAAAAAAACTTCACAGTATAAGATAAATGATGATGTTTTTGTCCATCTTAGGGATTGTGAACATGAGTTTCCCGCTGTCTGACCAGCCCGTGTTTGGAGAGTGGTTTATCTTTGTGGAAGTGCAGGGCCACACCTACAATAAGTCGTTTGAAGTGCAGAAGTATGGTAATGGATTGTTTAATATTGGGTTATTTTTTAATGTTGTGCCTCATGGTTTAGTGCAGCCCTATTCAATAGGTGGCTCAAGGGCCAGAACTGGCCCATCTGTCATTTTGGGCCAGCCCATTGTCCACATACCACTTAGTAAATTATTTGTTTTATAGCTGCGACTTAAAGGGACAGTATATAAGAATATAGCTAGAGAAAACCCCAAAAGAGTCCAATGTTTCAGCCATTTTGGAAGGAAAGTTATACTGAAACATTCCATATTATTGTCAGTTTTTCTCCTTTCAAAATAAAGGAGGGGGGGGGGGGGGATGTAACTACTGTTTACCATCAGTGAGTGTGGGGTTGCCGTGTCTCCTGTGAGCTAATGCTGCAGCACCCACAATGGTAATTTGACGACAACTGGCAAAAAGCTCCAAAGTTGTTTAAAGTGGTTGCAGTAACCAACATTTACTACAGGATGCCCTTTTTACTTCATTTCTACATAATGCACCTTTAATTGTAAGTACAACAGTTGACATTTTAAGGAATGTAGCGCCGCTGTTTATGCTGCTGGTGGAAAGTTTACAACAGCAGTTTCTTGAGAAAACAAGTCACATCCAAAAGAGGAGATGCAAGGTTGACCGTGAAAATAGAAAATTGTACGCATAAAAAATGCTGAGGGAAAACCCATGCGTCTTGCCCGTCACTCCATCTGTTTGATAGAAAGAGAATACAAGGGGACAAAAATAAAGACACAGACTCTAAACTACCAGCAAAGTTTTGTGATTTTCACTTAGAAAGCTACAACATCTCTCCGAATTGCATGCATACCGACTAAAAGGAAAAACAGTGGTACATTACAAGAGATGGAGTACATGTAAATGAGCAGCCCGCTGACAAAGGCATTGTGACAGTTTGACCCAACAAAAAAACTAATTGAATACACCTGGTTTAGTGAAATGTGTCAATTTTTATTTCATTTGTGCCACAGACCCCATTTAGAGTTTATGATATATAATATACTTTATATCATCTATTAGTCAAGCGGAGATTGTTTTTTAAGTTAATAAATATGTTTTTATTGGACACTTTATTCCAATAAAACGTCCACATGTACAGTAGTTTATGCATCTCAAGCAGTAAAAACAACCACTGAAAATTGATGAATTCAAAACAAAAGACAATGTGTTGTTTTAATTACAGTGATGAATTCAAAACAAAAGACAATGTGTTGTTTTAATTACAGTGATGCCCAAGTTTGAGTTGGTGATTGATCCACCACGTTACATCCGTGATCTCAGCTCATGTGAACAGGCCACTGTCACAGCCAGGTATGCTACTTAGAGTACAGATGTATGAGATAGGACCAAAGTCAAACCAAAATTGAATGTTTTCTTTTGATAAATGACCTTTAAAGTTTCCATTGATGTTTTTTCTTGGCATGCCCTATTTTGAAAAACCATTAGTCTTTATACCATCTGAAATAACAATAAAACATTTTCCAAGTTAATCTCTACGTCAATGTTTTTATACAGGTATACTTTTGGTAAACCAGTCACTGGGAAGTTGACAGTGAACATGACTGTTAATGGAGTCGGCTACTACAGACATGAGATGGGACATCCTGTTATTAAAATCATGGAGGTCAGTCTTTTATTCTCCTGTTAAATGGCACATATTATAACTGAATATTATATTGAAATACACAAAACTCATTACATTGAAAGAGTGATGGAAAAATAACAAAACAATTCCAGTGTAACACATTTCAAAAATTTTGCTCTTTCGCGAATGAAACAAGCAAAGGTATTTGATCCTCCATCAATCAGTAGGATTTTTGGCTCCGAGGAGTAATTTTTACATGAAACAAGCTGACACCAGTATAAAAGACGCATGTCCATAGAAGCAGTCAATTTATCCAGGTTTCAAACTTTGCACCATGGGTAAGAAGAAAGAGCTTTCAGGTACAAGACTGTGAACCTTTCCAAAGCTAAAAGACTGCTACAAGACTATTGCGAGTAGGAGAACCATAAAATTACATTCAGTCTCCCTCGGGCTGGGGTTCCATGCAAGATCTCACCTTGTGGAGTTTCTGTGACAAAAAGAATGTTGTGGAACCAGCCCAGAATCATTCAGGAGGAACTTGTCAATGATCACAAGGCAGCTAGGACCATAGTCACCAAGAAAACTTCGCACTACGCTGTGAAGGATGGAAATCCTGCAGTGCCCACAAGGTTCCCCTGCTCAAGAAAGCCCACGAACAGGCATGTTTGAAGTTTGCCACTGAATATCCAAATGTTTTAGAGCAGGGGTCGGCAACCTGTTCCCATCAAAGAGCCATTATTACCCGTTTCCCACAGTAAAGAAAACACTGGGAGCCACAGCAGCCGCGGCGTTGTGGGCGGGGCCTACCCTCAGACAGCAGAGAGCTGCTTTAACCAATCACAACAGGTGACAGCAGCCAGTACTGGTCGCTCGTGTACGTCAAAGTTATCTTTCATAAGACGATAATCAATAAAACGATTTATATAAAGTGGATCCAGAAGTTGTAGCCCGTCTCTGCCGACAATATTTTGATATTTTTCACCTTGTTGGTGGTTTTACTGAGCAGGTGCCACTTTTGTCATACGTTTCTTTTTAAAACATGTTTAGACTGTTCAGAATACAAATCCAGACTCTGTCACGTTTGATTGTTGTAATTAAACTTTGTAGGTGGGGAAGGTCAGAAAAGGATCCGATCATTTTGTTTTTCCGTCATTTACAGTGACGGAGATAACGGCACAGGCTCTGGTGGTAATCAAGTTAAATTATATCTCTTTGCAACAATTTTCACAAGAAAACAGAACAGTTAAAAGCAGGGCTTGCGTTGTGCTGACCGGACAGTTCCCGTATTTGACCGTTTATTTTGACGGAGGAAGAATAGAAAGAATTACCCAGACACATGCAGACGAAATGACATTTTATTCGTTTCGCACATCGCAGATGTAGCTAAATCACTCAAGAAAAGATTTCCTTCTGAAGATCTGAGCTGGACACTGCTCAGCGCAGCTCACTGTCAGCGCGTACGTACGGTGCACAGCGAGCTGAAGATGTGGAGAGGGGCTTGGAGCGCGTCGCAGAACCAGAGCGCATGCAGGAAGATTCCTCCGACTGAAGCGAGACTTGTCACTTAGAAAATGTTCCCTGATTATGAAACTTTGGCTGAATAGCGCTTGTTCCTGTCTCCAATGTGGTGACACATCCAGGAGCCGTCTGAGGAGAATCCCACAATCTCACATCCTCGTGAGCTCAGAAAGCGCCGTTGATTACGCACAAGCATGACCCGTCAACCCGGTCTCACAGTAAGACCGGGTTGGAACTGTTCAGGTTTAAGCAGACAATCTTAACATTTAGAATTGGCATACAGACGTAAAATTAATGCAGTAAAATATAAATCATTTTATTTAAATATCCATTCATTATTTTACAAGCACAGAGAGCCGCATCAGATGGATGGAAGAGCCGCATGCGGCTCCAGAGCCGCGGGTTGCCGACCCCCGGTTTAGAGGAAAACTGGCTGAAAGGGTGATGGTCAGATCAGACAAAAATTAAGCTTTTTAGCATTACCTCCAGGTCAGGGATTAGGTCCTGCCTCAAGTGGAGAAGTTTAAGTGTCTCAGGGTCTTATTCACAAGTGAGGGAAAGATAGAGCACAAGATCAATAGGTGGCTTGATGCTGCGTCTGCAGTGATGCAGGCGTTGTACCTGTCTGTTGTGGTGAAGAGAAAGCTGAGCCAGAAGGTGAGGCTCTCGATTTATCAGTCAGTCTACGTTCCTACCCTCACCTATGGTCACGAGCTTTGGGTAGTGACTGAAAGAATGAGATCGTGGATACAAGCTGCTGAAATTAGTTTTCTCCACAGGGTGGCTGGACTCTCCCTTAGAGATTTAGGGTGAGAAGCTCGGTCATGCGGGAGGGGCTCGGAGTAGACCGGCCGCCTTCACATCGAGAGGAGCCAGTTGAGTTGGCTCAGGCATCTGATTAGGCATCCTGGACGTCTTCCCTGGTGAGGTTTTTTGAGCACATCCAACCGGGAGGAGGCCTAAAGGGCGACCCAGGACACGCTGGAGGGACTATGTCTCTTGGCTGGCCAGGAAATGCCTTGGAATTCCCCTGGAAGGGCTGGCACTGGGGAGAGGGAAGTCTGGGCTTTTCTGCTTAGGCTGCTGCCCCGTGACCTGAGTCTGGACAAGCAGACAATGATGGATGGATGGGCATCAACTCATGCATGGAGGAGGTGATTGCCGTCGACTCCAATAACACTGCCTCTACTGTCAAATGTGGAGATGGAAAAATTAAGCTTTTATTAGGGTGGGGGTTCTGCCAAGGGGACAAGGAAACTCCACCATATCAAAGGGAGGATGGATGAGGCCATGTACTGTTAGATGTAGGGTGAGAACCTTCTTACCTCAGCCAAGGCATTGAAAATGGGTCGTAGGCGGGTATTCCAGCATGGCAATAACCCAAAACAAACAGCCAAGGCAACAAAAGATTGACTCACGAATACGCATATTAAGTTCTTGGAGAGGCCTAATCGGACTCCAGACCTCAATCCTGTAGAAAATCTTTGGAGGGAGCTGAAGATTCAAGTTGCCACACATCAGCCACCAATCGCTCCTGAGATGTGTGAAAAACTCCAAGATACGTCTGACCTTTGTGACTGCCAACAACGGTTTTGTCACCAAGTACTAAAGCACATTTTGTAAAGGGATCAAATTATTATTTCATTAATGAAAATGCAAATTAATTATGTTTTTGAAATGCATTATTATTTGAAATGCATTATTATTTGAAGGGCATGATTATGGATGTTTGGCTGTTGGTCGGTCAGAGATGATTTCTTTGTTAATGGACAAACGTACTAAATAAGCCGGGGTTCAAAGACATTTTTCCCTGACTGCATTTAAGATGTAAGAAATTATTTTGTGATTGTATCTTGGTAAGATCTTGTAACTTCCATCTTTGGAAGGAAAACATACCAATCCAAGTATACTATGGAATGTGTTCTTTTGTCAGATCAAAGGCTCTGCAAATTTCAGTTTGTGTGTCAAAGACATGATGCCGTTGGATGTGGCTGATCACTTCAGGGGCAGCGTTAGCATTTGGGCATCAGTGACGAGCATCGATGGAAGCAGGCAAACCTCATTTGATGATTCAACTCCGGTTCACAAACAGCTCATTGACATCAAATACTCTAAAGATACTCGTAAACAGTTTAAGCCTGGCCTGCCTTACAATGGGAAGGTAAGACTTACAGCAGAGTTACTGATACTGAATGCACAAACTGTCTGATATATGTTAACGTTTATAGCTTCCTTTATTTCTTCCCTATAGATTGAGGTTACCTATCCTGATGGGAGCCCAGCTGATGGAGTGATGGTGCGCATTAAAGCAGAGCTGACTCCAAGGGACAACGTCTACATCAGTGAGCTGATCTCAAAGGATGGCCAAGCAGCCTTTGAGATCCCCTCCATCCCAACTGTTGCTCAGTATGTCTGGCTTGAGGTCAGTGATGAGTAACAGTAGTTTCCCGTGTTTATGATACAAACAAAAAGATGCTGAAAACTATAAAGAAAACATGTTTTCTTTTAACTAGACCAAGGTGACATCTATTGACAACAAGACAGTGGGAGACCAGTACTTGCCTAACTACCTGTTCATTAGTAGTTGGTACTCTCCAAGTAGGTGTCACATCCAGATCCAGAGTCCCAGCGCCCCTCTTAGAGTATGGTTTGCCTTTTTTTTTTTGGTCTAAAATTTGGAAAAATTACCAAATTCAGTGTTGATCTTTATTTGATTGTAATTTATTTGAAATACATAACAAGTTTTGATATTTGTAATGTGATTTGTTTTTTCTGTACATGAATTAAGGTTGGCCAAGAGGCTGAAGTGGCCCTCAAATCAACTTGTCCCTGTAATGTCACTTTGCACTTTGAGGTGACATCCAGGGGAAACATCGTTCTATCGGGCAAACAGTCAGCCAACCTGACAACCTCACATCGAGGAAAACGAGCTACAGTGATCTTTGATAAGAACGTTGCCACCCACCTCCCTCCTTCTACCTCTGACAGTGCGTGGATGCATTTCTTCTTATTCCACGTGTTGAAATCAATTTTCTAAGTCAGTAGACCAATTTATTAAATAGACAAAAAATAAGTCAGTAGTCATTGTAATGCAGCATCCTTTAATTAAAGTACATTGTATTGTGTAGTTTTGCTAAATTACCCACATATAGATCTTTTGTACAAGGGAAAGTATTAGGACAGCAGCGAATTTAAAGCAGTTCCCTCAATGAGACAATAAAATATACATTGCGCCATATCATATTGTATCATATTATAATGCATCACATCTCATGACATTGCATCGTACTGTATTGGATCGTATTACATTGCGCAGTGCAGTGATGCTCAATTCGTTGATGTTGATCGACCAGAGTTGCCGTCAATCATTATCAACATATTGAGACACAAATACCGGCCATAGTTGCACCGCCAAAATAAAAATGCATAAAACACGACTAGATGTGAATGCTGATTACAAGCTTGTGCCTGACGTGCAATTGTGGAGGTTAACTCTTGCCATATGGTATCTTATCACAAAATATATCATAGTGTTTTGTTTCATGTAGTGTTGCAGTGAATTGTATCATGTCATTTTCAATTGTTTCGTACCGTATTGTAATGTGCCGCATTGCAACTTATGTTTTACCATATCGTATTTTATCCGATCAGTTGTATCATATTGCGCCATATCATGATGCGTGATATAGTATTGTATTGTATAATGATGCATTGTTTCGTGTCCTATTACATCTCATTGGATTTCTTCATATTGGACTGTGTTGTGGCATACTGCATTGGATCTTGTCCCATCATGGGATCATATCTTGTTGTTTTGACCATATTGCATCACATCCTACTACATCCTATCATATTGTATCTTATTGTATAGTATTACACCTCATCACATAATATCAGATGTTGCATTGCATCACGTCACATACCATTGAATAGTCTCATTAAGCATAGTTTCTAATTGTATTTTGTTATATATTATACTGCTTTATATTTTATTATATCTTATGAAATTGTGTTTCTAAGAGAACCCTGCCATCTCGTGCCGATTGTTTCACTTCCACTTTCTTTTTTTTCTCACTCTATCTGGTGTTGCAGGCTCTTCCTCTCAGGCTGAGATGGACACCTGTGTTTCCTTCCTGCGTTTTCCTGTTAGTCACAGCATGGCACCCCTCAGCCGCATGCTTGTCTACTACGTGAGAGAAAATGGTGAAGGTGTAACAGACAGTCTGCAAATCTCTGTCCAGCCAGAGTTTGAGAACCAGGTTGGGAAACAGAAATATTTTTATTTTTATCAAGCAAATTATCTAAAGAAATACTCTTTTGGCATTTTAAGATAGGAAAGTGGTTGCTGTGCTGCAAGTCTGCCAAAAACATTGATGTTTGTGGATCGTGGAGTTTTGTGTTTCTTTTAATGTAAGTATTTATTAAAAGCTGGAAAAGGGTGGACTCACTGTATACATTTTGGAGCTGAGCCTAAGTATCCATGCACCAGCCATTACACCATGGTGTAATATCTGTAAACAAACAGCTGTGTTGGCCCAAGAGCGCTCCCAAGTTCCTGCCTGAATTAGGTGGAGTTAACTCCCTGAAGTATTTACAGCTCTCTGGTATGCCCTTACAACTGTGTGTGTGTGTGCGTGCGTGCGTGCAGGATGAGACTGCAGCCATGCAGGCTACAGACGGATTAGTAGGGTCATGACAGGAGACGATGACAGGTTACAGATTGGTGAAAGGAGGGCAGTGAAGCGATTAACGAGGCTAATTTGTGACTGTGTGTTGGTGAGAAATAGCGTGGATGTGTGAAAGTTTATGGCTGACTCACACCAAGCCCTCCTTTTAATGGTTTTGAAGAATTTTGTTATATTGTTTAGTGTAATCTCTTCATGTTAAAAGATAAATGGTGCTTAACACAAAAATATCCTACCTATGCTAACCTTTCAACACTTCCAACCAGTGAAATTTTTTTTATAAAATACTTAGAAAGTTATTATGTAAAATGATAATAACAGTAGTTGTTATTTCAGATTGACCAACAATTAGGTCTGAAAAAAGTCAATACACTGCAAAAACTAATTTCTAAGTAAGTCAAAAGCCAAATTTTATACATTTTTATTTTATTTTTTGTCTAAGAAGATAAAGATTCTTCTCTAGAAAAAGTGTTATTTAAAATGAGGTAAATATTCTTGTTTTCAGTCAAATAAATCTGCCAATGGGGTAAGCAAAAGTTGCTTGGCTAGAATTCTTAGAATTAGCTCATTTAAAATATTTTACTAGTTTTACTAGTACTAGAACCGTCTACAGGTGGTTCAGAATGCCTGTGCTCGGCTTCTGACCAAGTCCTCCAAACACACCCACATCACCCCGCTTCTAATCCAGCTTTACTGGCTGCCATTCAACTTCAGGGTTCATTTCAAGATCCTGGTTCTGGTCTATAGGGCCTTACATGGACAAGCACCATCTTACATTGGTGATCTTCTCAGTTCCTACACCCCCAGCAGGTCCCTGAGGTCCAGTGATCAAAGCCTACTGGTTGTGCAGCGCACCAGGCTAAAGACCAAAGGTGACAGATCGTTTGCTGCTGTGGCCCCCAGACTCTGGAACTCTCTCCCCTGAGTCTGAGATCAGTGGACTCAGTGGACTCCTTTAAAAAGCAGCTGAAAACTCACTTGTTCAGGCTGGTTTTGGTGTGACCTTCTTCACCACTCTCTCTTTATTCTGCTCTCCCCACCTATTCCACCTTCCTCAGGATCCTCTGATTTCCCTCTTTCCTATTCACTCTCTCTTTCTTTACATTTTTTAAATAACAGTTGTCTATTTTTTGCTCATTTTAAATATATTTTTAACCATTTTCCAAATAATTTTTCATATTTTTACATTTTTTGTGAAGCGCCTCGTGATTTTTATCTTGCGAGACGCTATAGAATGATATTTTCTTCTTCTTCTAGTTTGAAGAATAGTAGCTGTGCAACATATGCGTGCCCCATTGGCAAGAAAGTTTGCATCATATTTAAGAATTTTTATATTGTTTACTTTTGTTTATTTTGTCTTACTTTTATTTCATTCAAAATTTAAAAAATAAGCACAAGCAAATACAGTTTTAAGTAATGCAAATTTTCTAGAGAAGAATTATTTTTCTTTTCAGACTAAAAATTTGGAAAATATCTAAAAAAAAATATTATAATAA